TCAAGATTCAAACTTTTGATTATCAAAGAGGATGGGAAAAACAAAGTTGGATTCAATATCAAAAGACGTTATGGGAATCGGTATGAACTTAATTCGATGAACAAGCACTAAGAATATGATTATGTGATTTATATGCATTCATGGTGGAACTTTAAACTCTAATCCAAGATCATCTTTCTCTCAAAAGATCAAATCTTCTTACTTAGATACTTCAAATTTTCTCATTTCTCAATGATGAAATATAAGTTCTAAGAGCATTACAAGTTCATGTTTAATCAATGTTCCTAGAGAATTCAAGATCATTTCTCAATGAATCATGACTTCTAGATGATAATCTTGTTCATAACATGCTTGGATTTCTCAATTCAAAACATGTTTATAGAATCATGATCAAGAATTAATTCAAGAACAAGCATTAAGACTCAAGATTTCAACACCATGAGCATATGAACACAATATCATCAATCAAGCACAAGCTTATTCATCAAACCAAATTCAACCTATCCCATAACAAGAGAACTACTCTAGAGCCATGAAATGATCAAGAGACATCATCAAATGATAAAAAAAACATAAAGATAGAGAGAAGAGAAAGAGAAAGCTTCTCTAGATCTTCAAGGCTTGTTCTTCATGCTCCAAGCCTCCAAATCTTCTTCTACTCTTTGTTTTTGTGTTTCTTGTTGTTGTGTGATCAATGAGAGCAGATTAAGGGTCTATTTATAGGAGTTTCTGAAGGGCAAAAGTAGATGAAATGATGAAATTCGTAGTGGCATGTTAGGTGAGTTGTCTCCATGATGTAAGCCATGATGTCAGCAACCAGAATTTTGCTCAGATTGTAACTGCTCGATGAAGGGCCAAATCTCCACCAAAAATTACGATCTTGGTGTCTATGGAAAGCTCTTGATGTCTAGTTTACTGTGAAACAAACGGCGAAGCAATCCGAGCTCCCAATCGAAAGTTATGGAGGAGATAGTACACCCTTCTCATTTTGCTTTTCTGGATCCGAAGCGTGACTTGCAACTTTCGGCCACGATTCATGCTTTCTCTTTTCGATCGCAACTTTTCCAGATCATAACTACAATGAGTTGATGATCTTTTAAAATTGGAATCACGTCATTTGGACTTCAGATAAGAAAGTTATAGTCAAATTCGTCCAAACTGTCAAAACTGCCCATGAAACCGAGTTTGCTCCATTTTTGTTCCATTTTTGCCAAATGTTTCCAAAATAATTTTTGTCACCTACAAAATATGAAACACACCAAAAACAAACCAAAATATTCCTAATCTAAATATGAAAGCATGAGAATAACATGATAATTATATGCAAGTTAATACGACAAGATTCGTGCGATCAAATTCCCCCAGACTTAGTGTTTTGCTCGTCCTCGGACAAATGGCATGAATGCATAATGAGAAAAATTTGACCAATGACTGAAAAGACTTTGATACGCTTAAATATCATATTCACCATGGGAAAATCAGTTGACTACAATTCGATTTCCATACCTTTATAGGATTTCGACCTTTTCCAAAGGAATTGTATCACATTAGAAAATCAAGACAAGATAAATTATGATCTTACCAAGCGGACTTCCAAACTTTATAGCCTGCTGTTCTAGGGAATATTTTGGTCCAAGACGGTTTGGTGTATGCCAAGTGTTTATTTTGAAGATGGCTGAATCGGGAAGATATGTGGAATGGAATGAAGAAAAAAAATTTTTCCATTCGGTGTGCCAAGAATATATAAAATCTCTTTTTTTTTCTCTTTTTTTTTTTGTTATTTTTTTCATTTTTCAGTTTTCTCTTTTTTTTTTTTTCAGAACTTGGCTTTTCTTTTCCTTTTTCCATTTGTATATGTAAGCAAATAATATGAGGTCTATAAGGAAAAATCATGTTTTTGGGAATGAACCGAGTTTTACCTTTCGCAACGTGATGATTGTCGCCACCCCCGCACTGCTCGCTCGGTTGCCTACTCGTCCTCAAGAATGAGAGTGGAATAAAAAGGTGCGAGCAACGAGTAGGTCTTGGGGGCCTCATATTCCCTTGAATGAGGAACAGTTCTTAAAAGAAGTGCTAATACTTGGTTCGATATCTTGTCTTTGAAATCTAATGCAATTTATTTCCGATAATCAAGACCAAAAATCCAATGAAGGTTAGTCATCGATTCGATTTAACCGACAATTTACCCAATCGTCTAAAACATGTAAAGACTGGCTTATATGAAGTTTAAGTTCAAAATCATTTGAGTCATATTTGTTAATTCCCAAACATATGCAGAAACGAGAGAAAAAATAAATATTCCTAGTTTTTTTTTTCAACAAGACATATGTATGCAATGCAAAACATGAGACACAATAAAACCAATAGCGATCATTAGAGCGTCCCCCAGACTTGAATTATGCATCGTCCCGATGTTAAATACTCGTCCGAAAAAAACATAACCATGGAATTCACAAGAGTTTAGGGTTCAAAATATACCTCGTGATATCGCACTGTACCTTACCGTATGTGGTAGACCAGGTTATATAATGATCGCATGCTAAATGCCCGCTACCCAAGAGGACATTCCATCTACTTTCGTAACTTGGAATGGAATCTTGAGTGCATTGAACTCTCTTGTCATTGTCTCGCTTATCTGTGAGTAGTCTCAAAAGCAACAGACAATAAAAGCAAACAAAACACACTGAAAATTTAAATCAATCAAAGGAAAATACTCGGGTTGCCTCCCGAAAAGCGCTTGTTTAAAGTCATTAGCTTGACCCCTTTGCGTTTACTCAGATTCAGGATCAGAGAGAGGTAAGGAACCTCTTACTTCTTTTGGATTCTCTGGGTTGTAATGTTTCAAACGTTGGCCATTTACTTTGAATGTTTCACCTTTGTGGTTGCAGAGTTCTATGGCGCCATGTGGAAAAACGTTAACGACGCGAAATGGTCCGGACCATCGTGATTTTAGCTTCCCTGGAAAAAGCTTTAATCGTGAGTTAAATAACAAGACCGAATCATTTACCTTGAAAGTTCTGTGGAGGATTCGACGGTCATGCCATTTTTTTGCTCTTTCCTTGTAAATTTTTGCATTCTCGTATACGTCTAAACGTATCTCGTCAAGATGATGAAGTTGTAGAAGTCTCTTCTCTGTAGCACTCTTCAAGTCAAAGTTCAGCTCCTTTATGGCCCAATACGCTTTGTACTCCAACTCCACAGGTAAATGACAGGCTTTTCCATACACCATTTGAAATGGTGTCATCCCGATAGGAGTCTTGTAAGCCGTTCGGTAAGCCCATAATGCATCATCAAGCTTCAAGGACCAATCTTTTCTTGATTTTGAAGTGGTTTTCTCCAGAATGGCCTTGATTTCTCGGTTGGACACTTCAACTTGTCCGCTCGTCTGAGGGTGATAGGGTGTAGCAACCCTATGTTTGACTCCATATTTTCGCAAAAGTGCTTCAAAGGCTCGATTCACAAAGTGTGAGCCTCCGTCACTTATCACCACCCGTGGAATTCCAAAACGTGGGAAAATCGTTTTCTTGAATAACTTGATCACTATCTTGGAATCACATGTAGGACTAGCGATAGCCTCCACCCATTTTGTCACATAGTCGACAGCAACAAGTATGTATTGATTTCCACAGGATGATGGGAATGGTCCCATAAAATCGATGCCCCATACATCGAATGGTTCGACTTCAAGGATGTATCTTTGTGGCATTTCATGTCGTCTTCCAATGTTTCCCGTCCTTTGGCATGTGTCACACGAGGAAACAAATTTATGAACATCCTTGAACAGCGTCGGCCAATAAAATCCTGCATGTAATATCTTGGTCGCCGTTTTAGAGGTTCCGAAATGGCCGGCATAATCTGATGAATGACAGTGCCTGATTACGTCAAGGATTTCGTCTTCGGGGATGCATCGTCGGAATAGACCATCTACTCCACGTCGAAAGAGGAATGGTTCTTCCCAGAAATAATGACGAACATCATTCAGAAATCTTTTTCTTCTATTGTAATCCAACTCTGGGGGTAAAATTCCGCATGCGAGATAGTTGACGTAGTCAGCATACCATGGTGCATCATTTCTGTTCTCAAGAGACATGACATGGTCGTCTGGAAATGAATCATCAATAGGTATGTCCTCCTTGAACTCAAGACGTGAGAGGTGATCCGCTACACCATTTTCTGCTCCTCTCCTATCACGAATCTCGAGATCAAACTCTTGGAGCAATAGGATCCATCGTATCAACCGTGGCTTTGCATCTTTCTTGGAGAGAAGATACCGTAGAGCAGCATGATCGGTATAAACAATCACCTTTGATCCAACCAAATATGATCGAAACTTCTCAAATGCGAAAACTATTGCAAGTAATTCTTTCTCTGTGGTGGCGTAGTTGATTTGTGCGTCATCTAGGGTTCGACTTGCATAGTATATCGCATGAAGTTTCTTGTCTTTTCTTTGACCTAGGACTGCTCCAACGGCATAGTCACTTGCGTCGCACATCAGCTCGAAAGGCTTTCCCCAGTCAGGTGGTTGAATGATCGGTGGAGAGATCAATGACTTCTTCAGAGTCTCAAACGCCTCATGACATTGCTTTGTAAAGACAAATTGAATATCCTTCCCCAATAGCTCCGTCAAAGGTTTTGAAATTTTTGAAAAGTCTTTGATGAAAAGAATGAGAGTGGAATAAAAAGGTGCGAGCAACGAGTAGGTCTTGCGGGCCTCATATTCCCTTGAATGAGGAACAGTTCTTAAAAGAAGTGCTAATACTTGGTTCGATATCTTGTCTTTGAAATCTAATGCAATTTATTTCCGATAATCAAGACCAAAAATCCAATGAAGGTTAGTCATCGATTCGATTTAACCGACAATTTACCCAATCGTCTAAAACATGTAAAGACTGGCTTATATGAAGTTTAAGTTCAAAATCATTTGAGTCATATTTGTTAATTCCCAAACATATGCAGAAACGAGAGAAAAAACAAATATTCCTAGTTTTTTTTTTCAAGAACAAGAGGTCGAGAATGTCAACTATGTGGCGAACAACCCCTACTCAAATACATACAATCCAGGTTGGCGTAATCACCCAAACTTTTCTTACAAAAACACCGGAAACACAGAAAATCTGGCCAATCAACCCCAAGCCCCAAGAATACTCCAAAGACCCCAACATTTTCAACCATACGAGCAACGCTATCAACCACAAGTAGCGCAACCCGTACTTGCACCGCAGCCGCAACCCAAAGATGAGCTTAAGGAATTGCTCCTAAGCATGCAGAAACAACTGTCTGCTGATATTAGACAAACAAACAACGAGATTCGAGGGATGAAGAATGATCAAGACGATATCCGCAAACAAGTCGAGGGAATCAACACACATCTGAAGCTCCTAGACAATCAAGTTGCCCAAATGGCGTCATCTTCATCAAGGCCCATGGGAACACTTCCTGGAAGACCTGAGCCTAACCCTCGGGAGCATTGTAATGTTGTTGAGCTAAGAAGCGGGAGAAAACTTGAAGATATTAAATCCAAGGAGAAACAAATCAATAAAGACGGAGGTAAAGACGATGTTGTCGATTCCGACCCTGACATCAAGGTGGCAAAAGAAGACATACAAGAGAAGTCATACATTCTACCATCACCATACAAGCCACACGTGCCTTTCCCTCAAAGGTTGAGAAAACGTGACGATGACAGTCAATTCGCAAAGTTTGCTGATATGCTGAAGAAAATGGAGGTAAACTTGCCTTTCACTGAAGTTATCCTCAAGATGCCATCCTATGCAAAATTCTTAAAAGATATATTATCGAAGAAAAGGACGATTCAAGAAGAGACCATCGCGCTAAACTCTGAATGTAGCGCAATTCTGAAGCATGAGCTACCCCAAAAGATGAAAGATCCTGGAAGCTTCTCGATCCCTTGCACCCTAGGTAATGTCTCAATTAAAAAGGCATTATGTGATCTTGGAGCTAGCGTGAGCCTTATGCCTCTGTCAATATGCAAAATGCTCAACATTGGAGAACTCAAACCGACGAGGATGACTCTACAACTGGCAGATCGCTCAATCAAATATCCCATTGGGATTCTTGAAGATGTCCCACTTAAGGTCGGGAATTTTTATGTCCCTGTCGATTTTGTGGTCATGGAAATGGATGAAGACTCAAATATTCCAATCATACTCGGACGCCCATTCTTGGCCACTGCTGGAGCAGTTATCAACGTAAAAGAGGGTCATTTGACATTGTCAATAGGAGAAGAAAAAGTAGAGTTCAAGCTCGCTCAATCGCTCAAACAACCCTCCGTGGATGATACGTGTTGTTACATCGACGTCCTTGAACAATTGGCAGACGAGATATTGGAAGAATTACGCGAGGTTGATCCCCTAGAAGTGGCCCTCATGGCAAGCAAAGTAGAGACATGCGTAGATCAAGAAGAGGTGAACGTATACTCCGAAATCCTTGACGAAGAAGCTACAATATGCTCTATGGAGACGCCTTGCCCCATACACAATGAAGTCGACGACATCGAATCACCACAACACGATGAGATTGTACCTAACAAGAATTCCAAATTGCGGTACCATGACGAATCAACCTCACCAGAGCTCCATGATGTTTGCCTTGTTGAAGAAGCAACCACAAAAACCAAAAACGACATCGCCCCTTTCTGTGATTTCTAAGTGTATCTAACAACTTAGAGGTGTGCAGTTCATTCAATGAGGCATTAATGATGACATGGTATGAAGAATTAGGTCCAAGAAATTCATACCTCAGTCCTGGTGGCAACGGCTTCAACTCCACCTTTGGTGCAACCTTAGGATCCCATTCATCGGCGATGTCGTTTTTGGTTTTTGTGGTTGCTTCTTCAACAAGGCAAACATCATGGAGCTCTGGTGAGGTTGATTCGTCATGGTACCGCAGAACAGGACTAACCCACTCACTATCAGAGATAGGGTAGATTATTCCAGCATCGAGTAGTTTCAAGATTTCTTTCTTAACCACTTCTTTCATATTCGGGTTTAAACGTCTTTGGTGCTCAATTGAGGGTTTATATCCATCCTCCATCAAAATTCTATGCATGCAAAATCCTCGACAGAACTTTCAAGGTAAATGATTCGGTCTTGTTATTTAACTCACGATTAAAGCTTTTTCCAGGGAAGCTAAAATCTCGATGGTCCGGACCATTTCGCGTCGTTAACGTTTTTCCACATGGCGCCATAGAACTCTGCAACCACAAAGGTGAAACATTCAAAGTAAATGGCCAACGTTTGAAACATTACAACCCAGAGAATCCAAAAGAAGTAAGAGGTTCCTTACCTCTCTCTGATCCTGAATCTGAGTAAACGCAAAGGGGTTCTTGAATAACTTGATCACTATCTTGGAATCACATGTAGGACTAGCGATAGCCTCCACCCATTTTGTCACATAGTCGACATCAACAAGTATGTATTGATTTCCACAGGATGATGGGAATGGTCCCATAAAATCGATGCCCCATACATCGAATGGTTCGACTTCAAGGATGTATCTTTGTGGCATTTCATGTCGTCTTCCAATGTTTCCCGTCCTTTGGCATGTGTCACACGAGGAAACAAATTTATGAACATCCTTGAACAGCGTCGGCCAATAAAATCCTGCATGTAATATCTTGGTCGCCGTTTTAGAGGTTCCGAAATGGCCGGCATAATCTGATGAATGACAGTGCCTGATTACGTCAAGGATTTCGTCTTCGGGGATGCATCGTCGGAATAGACCATCTACTCCACGTCGAAAGAGGAATGGTTCTTCCCAGAAATAATGACGAACATCATTCAGAAATCTTTTTCTTCTATTGTAATCCAACTCTGGGGGTAAAATTCCGCATGCGAGATAGTTGACGTAGTCAGCATACCATGGTGCATCATTTCTGTTCTCAAGAGACATGACATGGTCGTCTGGAAATGAATCATCAATAGGTATGTCCTCCTTGAACTCAAGACGTGAGAGGTGATCCGCTACACCATTTTCTGCTCCTCTCCTATCACGAATCTCGAGATCAAACTCTTGGAGCAATAGGATCCATCGTATCAACCGTGGCTTTGCATCTTTCTTGGAGAGAAGATACCGTAGAGCAGCATGATCGGTATAAACAATCACCTTTGATCCAACCAAATATGATCGAAACTTCTCAAATGCGAAAACTATTGCAAGTAATTCTTTCTCTGTGGTGGCGTAGTTGATTTGTGCGTCATCTAGGGTTCGACTTGCATAGTATATCGCATGAAGTTTCTTGTCTTTTCTTTGACCTAGGACTGCTCCAACGGCATAGTCACTTGCGTCGCACATCAGCTCGAAAGGCTTTCGAATCCTCCACAGAACTTTCAAGGTAAATGATTCGGTCTTGTTATTTAACTCACGATTAAAGCTTTTTCCAGGGAAGCTAAAATCACGATGGTCCGGACCATTTCGCGTCGTTAACGTTTTTCCACATGGCGCCATAGAACTCTGCAACCACAAAGGTGAAACATTCAAAGTAAATGGCCAACGTTTGAAACATTACAACCCAGAGAATCCAAAAGAAGTAAGAGGTTCCTTACCTCTCTCTGATCCTGAATCTGAGTAAACGCAAAGGGGGATACGCCTTCGACAATCATTGATTTGCACATTTTCTTGAATGTTGCGAGGTGAACATTGGGATCTTCATGAGGCCATCCTCCGAAAGTTTTGCTTGCGAGCATTTGAATAAATGCTGGTTTGAGCTCAAAGTTTGTTCGATTGATCGGTGGCCTTCGGATGCATGACAGGAATTCTGTGGGTTTGGGTGAGTTGTAGTCACCGTACGTCTCGGCTCGTGGCTCCCGTCGTAAGGCTGGTTCTGGTGCTTGAGGGGGTGGTGGAAGTCGTGGTGGTTGATTATTGACGCCCGCCATTTTTGTTTGTCTTCTTCGAGTGATATACGTTCTTTCAATTTCGGGGTCGTATGGTTGCAAGTTGTCACTTCCACTACTTCGGGTCATGCACCGAACATCCTGTAATATTCAAAAAAAAATTTCAAAGTATACTAGAAATAAAAATATAAAGGGAAAATGGATTATAAACAAGAAAGACGAAATGAACAAATTTATCAAGATTACAAAAAGATGGATTTACTTAAGGCGTGGTGAAAGTTCACAAGACTAAAAGAGTTATCGTCAAAAACAATTTTCACGAGTTCCCCGGCAACGGCGCCAAAAACTTGATGCGTGCTAAGTAGTGTGCGTAGTTTGATCAAGCTTTAATATTTATAAGTCACTTAAGCACACACAACCGCAAGTGCACGGTTATATCGATGGTACTTAAGGTTCGTCCCAAGGGAATGGAATTTTGTTTCTAACAATATTTCTAAAAATCTAGTGAACTAAATCAAGATTCAAACTTTTGATTATCAAAGAGGATGGGAAAAACAAAGTTGGATTCAATATCAAAAGACGTTATGGGAATCGGTATGAACTTAATTCGATGAACAAGCACTAAGAATATGATTATGTGATTTATATGCATTCATGGTGGAACTTTAAACTCTAATCCAAGATCATCTTTCTCTCAAAAGATCAAATCTTCTTACTTAGATACTTCAAATTTTCTCATTTCTCAATGATGAAATATAAGTTCTAAGAGCATTACAAGTTCATGTTTAATCAATGTTCCTAGAGAATTCAAGATCATTTCTCAATGAATCATGACTTCTAGATGATAATCTTGTTCATAACATGCTTGGATTTCTCAATTCAAAACATGTTTATAGAATCATGATCAAGAATTAATTCAAGAACAAGCATTAAGACTCAAGATTTCAACACCATGAGCATATGAACACAATATCATCAATCAAGCACAAGCTTATTCATCAAACCAAATTCAACCTATCCCATAACAAGAGAACTACTCTAGAGCCATGAAATGATCAAGAGACATCATCAAATGATAAAAAAAACATAAAGATAGAGAGAAGAGAAAGAGAAAGCTTCTCTAGATCTTCAAGGCTTGTTCTTCATGCTCCAAGCCTCCAAATCTTCTTCTACTCTTTGTTTTTGTGTTTCTTGTTGTTGTGTGATCAATGAGAGCAGATTAAGGGTCTATTTATAGGAGTTTCTGAAGGGCAAAAGTAGATGAAATGATGAAATTCGTAGTGGCATGTTAGGTGAGTTGTCTCCATGATGTAAGCCATGATGTCAGCAACCAGAATTTTGCTCAGATTGTAACTGCTCGATGAAGGGCCAAATCTCCACCAAAAATTACGATCTTGGTGTCTATGGAAAGCTCTTGATGTCTAGTTTACTGTGAAACAAACGGCGAAGCAATCCGAGCTCCCAATCGAAAGTTATGGAGGAGATAGTACACCCTTCTCATTTTGCTTTTCTGGATCCGAAGCGTGACTTGCAACTTTCGGCCACGATTCATGCTTTCTCTTTTCGATCGCAACTTTTCCAGATCATAACTACAATGAGTTGATGATCTTTTAAAATTGAAATCACGTCATTTGGACTTCAGATAAGAAAGTTATAGTCAAATTCGTCCAAACTGTCAAAACTGCCCATGAAACCGAGTTTGGTGGGGCCGCGCGGCGGCGTGGTGGCATCGGTGAGTAGGTCACATCCGGGAAGTAAGACTGCTGTGGTCCGTAGGCATCGCCGGGATAGAGATAGTCCGGCGGTAGTGGTACCGGCTGGACGATGTTCTGCATCCTGGTCACATAGGTTGAAGATGCTCAAAAGTGAGGTTGCGGATAGAACCTCCAGCAGCGGCATTTATCCAACGTCTTATGTCTTTCCTTAACCCTTCAACCAAGGTTGAGATTAGGTGCCTTCGATCCATGCCATGATGTGGGCACGCTCGTTGGTAACCTTTGAACCTTTGCCAAGCGTCGTAAAGACTTTCGCCGTTCTCTTGAACAAAATTATTTATTTTCACCTTGAAATTTGCCGTCTTGTGAGGCGGAAAGTACTCCTCCAAGAACTTGTGCTCCATTTGTTCCCATGTATGGATGGAATCAGGTTTTAAGTTGAATAACCATTGTTCCGCTTTATCGCCCAGGGAGTATGGGAACGCCCATAAAAAGATTGCCTCTTCAGATACGCCTTCGACAATCATTGATTTGCACATTTTCTTGAATGTTGCGAGGTGAACATTGGGATCTTCATGAGGCCATCCTCCGAAAGTTTTGCTTGCGAGCATTTGAATAAATGCTGGTTTGAGCTCAAAGTTTGTTCGATTGATCGGTGGCCTTCGGATGCATGACAGGAATTCTGTGGGTTTGGGTGAGTTGTAGTCACCGTACGTCTCGGCTCGTGGCTCCCGTCGTAAGGCTGGTTCTGGTGCTTGAGGGGGTGGTGGAAGTCGTGGTGGTTGATTATTGACGCCCACCATTTTTGTTTGTCTTCTTCGAGTGATATACGTTCTTTCAATTTCGGGGTCGTATGGTTGCAAGTTGTCACTTCCACTACTTCGGGTCATGCACCGAACATCCTGTAATATTCAAAAAAAAATTTCAAAGTATACTAGAAATAAAAATATAAAGGGAAAATGGATTATAAACAAGAAAGACGAAATGAACAAATTTATCAAGATTACAAAAAGATGGATTTACTTAAGGCGTGGTGAAAGTTCACAAGACTAAAAGAGTTATCGTC